ATATAGGATTATCTTACACATTTCAGCATTTTTTGCTGGCATTTTTTAAAGTTTAATGTTTACTTGGAAAGATGCGAGCTTCTGAATTCCTTTGAGACATGCAACATTTATCTTGAGGTTATCCTGAAAATGTAGCAAGCCAATAACTTTTGAAGAGAAGCATAGGCCCCATTTCTGCCCTGTAAATATGCTCTGAGGTTGGGTACCTAGGATTAGGAAAGGCTGAGAAAGGAGAGAATCTTAGAATCATGCTTTTGCCTTGAATTCAACTTTATTACGAAGGGACAGAACTCTATACACAGATTTTGAGATGATAAACAGATACAAAGGCTGGGACTGTTTTGTGGTTTCTGCTGTCCTTTTTTAAGGGATTTTGGACAGCCAGATGCATCATTTACCTAGTATTCATTGATTCAATATTTATTTATAACTGGTATGTAAATAAAAGACAAAATATTGCTTTCTATGACAATTTTTTTAAACTTTGGTTTATTTGGAGAACTTCCTTCCTTTTACGCCAAGAATAGCTAAAGTTCAGGAATGTTATGAACCCCATTACATGACTTTCCCAAAGTCAAAGATCAGTCTAGAGTTATAACCGTGTCATATCACAGTATGAAGTTTTAAATCCTAGTTCAATGTTTCCCTATAGATCAGACTGAGTTGTTTTAAAGTAAATGCAGTTTACAGGAGTAATTTTTTTAAATTACTTAAAAATTCACATAACGTATAGTTGAGAGATTTTCAAAATCAAGTGATTCTAAGAAAGTGATATATGTTTTTCTAATAGCCATGGATAGCAGGAAGTCATGAAAGAAGTGTCCAGCTTATCTTCAGGCACTTTCCTTTTCATTTTTTATTTGTTTTTATTTTTTTGTGGTACGCGGGCCTCTCACTGTTGTGGCCTCTTCCGTTGCGGAGCAGAGGCTCCGGACGCGCAGGCTCAGCGGCCAAGGCTCGTGGACCCAGCCGCTCCACGGCATGTGGGATCTTCCCAGACCGGGGCACGAACCCGCATCCCCTGCGTTGGCAAACAGACTCAACCACTGCGCCACCAGGGAAACCCGGAATTTTCCTTTTTAAATCCTTTTATGTAGAAAAGATGAAAAATGGAGACATTACCAGAGAACTAGGGGGAATTAAAGAGGAATTACTGTAGAAACAGCTTTTTACATAATTGCATCATACTTATTACTCCCTAGCCTGCAAATGGTCCAAGTTTTCTGAAAAATGAACAGGTCAGGTATCTGTGCATAGTCACTTTGTCACATGTGGTTAGTTGGCCTGTCTGAACATTTATGACTATCTCCCCACTATCTGTCTCCCACTGTCTGTCTCCTCCTATTCCTTGTACTGTCGAGTACAAGTTTGGGTTTTTTTGTTTTTTTTTCAATGAACGCAGATACCAAGAATAAAATAAATGGAAAACTAAATAGCTAAATGAAGTGCGTACGTTTGTGTATGTGTGTGTGACAGAAATTAGTTTAAGCTGAATCTTTGCCAAAATCTCTCTGTGTTCATACGCTTCCTACATGTATGGTAGGAAGTGTTAATGTATTTTGCAAAAATCAATAAAATACTGTCTTGGAAACATCATTTAAACATATTTTTAATAAAGTATTTTTTTTAACTTTTCTATTTGTTTAATAAAGTTTTTTAAAAAAACTTTTCTGTTTTCTTTTCTGTTAAAAAACACTTCCTATTTAATACCAATTATTAAATGATATTCATATTAAATTTTAAAAGTATATAAAAAAACAAAATGACACAAAGCACTGGAAAATAGTAACACTTTTAAATTAGTCCCAGAGCTACATTAATTTTTTCAACTATTAATAGACTTAGCCATAAAATTCTTTTATTTTTTTCTATCAAAATGTAGCCAAGAAACAAACATCTTTCTTTGCTTTCTTTGCAGGAAAGAACCGGTATCTGGATTATTTCCAGTCCATCCAGACAGCTATTTCTACTGGAACAAGTGACCTTCGGAACAGAATGGAACATAGCAGCCTGGCCAGACAGAAGGGAGGGAGTAGGCAACTGGGAAGGGCCCCAAAATGTTCCTATGAAATGTCATTTGAAGTAAGAGGACAATAAAAAACTAAGGACAAATAAATGAACTAAAAATATTTAAGGCCAATGAAAACTGTGTGACCACAACATGGGATTCAAGGAAAGATGCAGTTTGAGTCTTTACCTATCATTCTTTAACTCACATGCTCAACAAATATAGTTCTTCACCCTCTGAGTCCAGGCAATGTCCCTTAATTATAAAACATTCAACTTTGAGTCCTCACAGTCTCATTGAAGCTATAATAATGAATTAATAAAAATCAATATTAACATAATTAATATAAACAATAGTCAATTGTTTTTCCTCCCTTGAGTGAGCCAGATTTCCTTAGTCTATGAATCTATGGTGATTAATAGATGCTCATAGAGAATGTCAAGGTCTTTATTTAGCAGATCATTGCTACATAAGATAAAAAAATACTGGTAAAGATTTTATCAGAAAGGACAAAGTGGTTATCTTCTCTTAAGATTTACTTGGAAGGCATGTTGTTCTTTTCTTTCACAGGGAGCATAAGAAGTTTTAGTTCACATCATTAGCAGGAAACATGCTAAAGAATCATTTAACCTTTTACTGAACGCTTTATGGGTAAAGTGTTGTGCGTGGCACCAAAGAAGATACAAAACTGTCAAAGCAATACTTCATTAAGATTTCTGGAGGATAAACAGAAAAGTTTTTTTGAAAACTTTATTAAACAAATAGAAAAGTTAAAAAAATACTTTATTAAAAATATATTTAAATGATGTTTCCAAGACAGTATTTTATTGATTTTTGCAAAATATATTAATAATGACAAGTTGATAAACTAAAAGTTACAGAGAAAATGCTATGAGATTTCAGAATGTCCTTTAACAGAGAACTTAATGAGGTCCTGCGCGTACTGGGGAATTCTTTTAAGAAGGTATCTCCTACAACTTCTAGCCAGGCTCCCTTTAATGAAAACAGCAACATTTAAAAGTCTGATGCAAGTTCCAAAGTGCCTATAGAGCTGTTTGCAAACTGGAAATGTTTGACTCAATGAATTTTGAATGTGCATCTGAATAAACACCAAAAATGTGGCTAAAGGTAAATATAAGGTAATTATATAAGCAAAGTTTTAGTTACACAGTTGTAGTGGTACTATCAGCTCACACAAAACCCAATGTTAGTGATACAGAAATAAGAAATTCAGCTATTTCAATTTATCATGTAGTGATAAATTTTTATCAGAAAAATTCAAAGTGAGTTTTCAAATTCAACTTCTTAAGTATGCCATCCTTTGTATATTAATAACTATGATTTTGGAATTAGTGTGTCTTAGGATCAATGAACTAGAGTGGAAATAAATGAATTCAGAGAAAGGAAATGTCTTCTGCTATTTAAATAATACCCAATTTCATAAAAATTCACTTGAAAGTAAGGAAATAGAAGACCATACATTATTTTAAGAGGTGGTCTCCTCACTAGAGTAAGGGAACCCCAGCTTAGATGAATTCCAGAGAAATACGTTTTGAGGGAGAGAATTCTATAAGTGGGTTACATTTGGATCTTAATAACATAAGGTCAAGACATGGAATGAGTGTATAAGAATTAAAGTTTGGGTCGAATTTATGAAATGGGTGTTGGAAGGGGAAGTTCTTGAGACAGTCATCTGAGGTTATCTAGGAAGGTGAGGACACTTAAAGGCACTTCCTGCATGAGACACAGGGGTCTGAGAGCAATACTAGCCATGCCCCTATCAACAGTGTGTTAACTGCTCGTAAAGAGTGTAGTTTGGGTGGAGTCTGGGTTTTAGTTGTCAAAATTGAGTCCAAGATTCTTCAAAAAATTTAACAGAGGCTGAAACCCCAAATCATGAATAAATGTTGAATTTGGAACTATAGATGGAAACACTGGAACAAAAAAATATTAACAGCCAGTTTTTTTTTCATGGTTATGTTAAGTAACATCAAAAGGAGTAAAAACAAAAGTCAGTATTTAGAAATGCATCAACACAAAAATCTATCAGAAGTTCTATCTGAAAATGAATTCCCATAATGTGACTAATATTTTAAAAAAATCAAATCCAAAATACAAGAAACAGGAAGAGGTGAAGAAAATTTTTGTCGTTGGCCTGTCTTCATAAGCTTCACACTGGATATCTAACATTATAGACACTAGCCAGTGCTAGGTACCCAAATTTAAACATAGTTAAATATTAATATTCTAAAGGAAATTTTTGGTTCACACAGTACTTTAATACATACAGGTTTTCATTTATTAATTCAAATATTTGCCTTACTTTTTCTTTACGACTATAAACTAACTGAAGACAGGGATCTTGTCACCTTCAATTTAACAATGTCTGTTAGCAAACTTACGAGATGTTTTCTTACCCACCTAATACATGATATTCACATAGAGTAATAAATGAATTTTAGTGAACAGATGGATGAATTGCTCATTGGTGTGCAAAGCTGTGCATGTGAGTCCTGTGTACCATTAAAATACTTAACATTGTGTTTTGAATAGATTCAAAACTTCATGATATTTTAATTAGCCACCACTCAAATTCTATTATCAAGTCCACCTTTTTAAGACTACCAGCCAAGATACCCTTTGTATTACTAGCTTAAAAAGGCTCTCCATTCTGAAAAGAGATATTTACGTAATACAGTTATTACACCAGATGCTTCTGGTGAAAGGAATCAAACTATGACCTCTCTCACCAGCAGGATGAAATCCACTGTTTTCACAACTGAATTATGTTGGATCATAAAGCTAAAATGTGTGTGGGCTGTAAGAAATGAAGTTAAAGTCTTTTTCTGCTTTCTTCTTTCTCTTTCTGTCTTTCTTTTGGCACTAATCTATGACCAGGAAAATCTGGCATGAAATTAGCTTCAGAATGTGTCTAAATTAATTAGAGGTTATTTAATGAGTTATATATACAAATATAAATTATACAATTTAATTTATTTAAAATCATTTATTCTCAGCAAAATCAAACATATCATTGAGTTTACATAGAAATACAATTTGCAAATGTATCTTCATAAAAATGCACTGGTGAAATAAATGTTCATAATTAATGACCAATTATATACTATTTAATCATGCCAGTAGCAGAACTGATTACCATTAAAAATTGGTACAATAACATATTTTAAATGTGCAAAGTACTCTATTGTGTTACCATTGATAATAAATCGCCACTAAATATATACCTATTACACAAAGCTTTTTAAAGTACAATAAAAATACAAATTCTATCTGTTAAAAAAAGCCATTGATATGGCTTCTAAACATCCTCATTATACAAATTCCAAAATACTATATGACAAACAAAATTATAAAGACTCTTCTTTATGAAACATATACTACCCTCTAATTAAGGTACAACTTAGCAGATAACAGAAAGCAAACAAGAAGGCTTATATACACCACAGAACATTATGGGGATACATACAAATATAATATTGCATAAGCCTATTTGATTTCTGTTCCTAGTGAAAATGTACCTTTAGCACGTGAAGAAAATTTCCATGACTAAAGGAAAAGAAACACTTTTGAGATCTACCCTCAATCTAAGCTCATATTTTCATTAATTTAATTTTTTTTCTTATAATGTGATGAACCAAATTATAAATTTGACCATAAATTTTGCTGCACTCAGTACAAATTACAGTCTGTTACATAATGGGCAAAGGTGTAAGAAACAAACATTTTTAAAAGTCAGAGTTAATCAGCACATCAAGAATCAGCTGCAAGAAAATGTTATTGTTCATGTTAAATACTAAACTGAGCAGCAATTTCATTTTTGTGAAAAATGAGATTCTGAGTTTAACAAAACAGATACAAATTAAATTTGCTAAATAATATTGATAATTCATAAAGAACAGGTGCCATAGATTTTTAACAGTATCAAAACTAATGGGTCATCACAAAATAAACTTTGGTGAGAAAATATCTTTATCAAAGGAGAAAATGTAAGAAGGATAGTCTAATTCAGTGCAGAAAAAATATATTTGGTAAAGTATATATGGGTAATAGATACTGCAACTAGAGACAGCATATATTCCAAATGTTTTTTTCAGAAACTTCAGATCAGATGATGTTTAGTAATGTAACTTATCTCATTAGAAATTAAATTTTATTTTAAGTGTTTTATAAATAGCAAATTTTCATTTTTTCCACAATCTTTATTTATGAAATAAATATTTAGAGTGTACCTGATAATAATAACTAACATTATTACCTTGCTTATACTAATAAGTACTCTAAATACATTTAGTTTAATTATTATTGGAATTTATATTTTTGTTATTTTACCTACTAAAAATGATCTGGTGGCATTATATTCAAAGTTTACATTTTCCCAATAATATGAACAACATTTCATACGTAAAATGACATCTGTCTAATGAATGGTAACATGTCTATTGGTTTGAATATAGAACATATTTAGTTTGGCATTGGTGTATCTCTTCAGGACTCTGAAAGGTATCTTTAAGGTATGGCTTTTGGGAAATCAGTAATAAACTAGCATCCTAGAGAATGAACTTAAATTTGAAGAGCTAATTATTTAGAGCTCAGACACAGGCAGATATTTGGATAATTTGTCTTTCAATTAAAAATTCTTCTACAAACAAACAGAAAGGAACATAAAAGTATGATTGACTTTACAGTGAGTTGTTTTTAAAACAAAATGCTACAGTTCAACAGTGAAAGTATGAGGAAATTTTACTGAAATAATTTTCAGAAAGTTATGAGATTCAAAAATATATTGGTACATGTATAATACCTGTCATAAGTAATAATGAATAATTGATATGTATACAAAACAAATTTAACAGATTCAAGACCTCCTGTTCTTGACATCAGCACCTGCTGTCTAACGGGTCGAGACAAAATACTGTGCCTTCAAGAGTTAGTCCCATTTTGAACCCCTCCTGCAAAATAAAGTAAAATCATTAAAATAGGAAATGCTCATAGCAAAACAAAAACAAAAACAAAAACCCCGTAAATGAAAGAGAGTATGAGCAGAAGTTGAAATCGTCATGTTTTGATCAACTAAGAAATAATTACATGTCAAATGTTGGATTGTCAAATTTTTATCAAATCCTTTTATACCTGTTAACATTTTAAATGTTTTAAATATACATGAGGTTAGCACGCATAAGAGATAGAAGAAAACAGAAATATGTGGAATTAAGTAATTTTAAGACTTAAATGTTTCTTTTCAGTGAGGTCTACTTTATGTCATTCTACTGTAGCTTAAATCCCTTGGCTTTAAAGGTCAATATTCATATAAGCAAGAGAGCTAGACCTCAAGATGATGACAGCCTGACAGTTTTCACCTTTTCTTCTTGGTTACCATTATCCAGAGCCTGGTAAAATAAATTGCATTGTATTCCCTAAATGCAATGCTGTATCCTATGTGTAACACAGGACTGCAGACCACTTCACCATGGAGAAAGCTTCCTTTACTAGCCTTGCAGCTGCTTGTAGCTGCAAATTATTGCTTTGAATTCCACTCACCTCTAGCATGTTTTAGATGCTTCTAGAAGTTAAATTTCTTTTGATTTATTGAGACCAAGTACCCAATTGCCATGAGAAAAAATTTTTTTTAAGACTTTTGAGTTAAAAGTTAGTGGTAAAGGTGTTTGCCCTTCTCTACTCCCCAGCTCTCTTCTTTTCTGTATAAGGTAGTTGAACTATGGGCCATCTCTGGTCTTGCCACCTTCCCCATCCCCATCCTTGCTCATAAAATGAAATGTAGACAAAAGTCTATTCCTGAGGAAAAGAAAATCTCTCTCTAAGAGAACACTGTTGTCCTCTGTTCTGCTTTGTGTTTTGTTAATTAGATGGTATCAACTCGTGTGTTAGCCAATTGCATATCTATTTGCATTTCCTCAAGTTACTTTCATTTAGAGCTGTATGTAATGTACTTACTATAAATCCAATGTAAACATTATCATATAGAGGAAGAAAATCATTACAAAATACAAGCCACACCTGTTTTGCTGTTAATGTTTAGAGAACACTCTTCATTACGTCTAAGCACAAAGACCACACGGCAATGCCATCACTTTAAGGGTTTTTCAAAAGTACTTCTTGGTACTTGGAATACAAATTATATTTAGTTAAGTAAAAGTCAGAGTACTTACCATTGTTTTAAAAGCCTATTCTGGTCACAAGAGAAATATTTTGCCACATGTATGCATATTTTTTTAAACAGCCGCCAAATACTCAGAAAAGTCAATACTTTAAACTGAAAATATTGTAAATAAACTGCTTTTTAAAATATTTTATTTGGATATCTGAGGATCTATGTATTATGTCATCTTCTGGAATATCAGATAGATAGATAGACAGATAGATAGGTAAGTAATGTGGATATATATTACCTTTGGAAAGATTTGATACCATTACTTTTTAATCAGTTCATTCTGAAATTAAACCACTATCACTTCAGTTACCCTGAAAATACTATTTATCAATGTGTTATCAGTATATGAAAAGCAGAATAGTAATCAAAGTAAAATAGGGGTCATTGTTTCAACAAAAAATGTTTGTATATCACTTACAAGAATATTTCCATGTTTTATAAGGATTCTTTAGGAGTCCTCTTAGATTAACTTAATTATCCCTTTTGACAGACACATTGTTATATGGCTCCTTGGTTTTCTTTCCCCTTAAAATTTCCCACACATTTTCTGACCCTTCCTTCTAGGCCTCATTTAGTAAGTCCTGACTTAATGCATTCTAAATCCTTCTAAGGTTTCCATATCCTCTTGAATGTAAACGTCTGAATGAAAATAAGGCTTATTTAACTTACGTAGTGATGGAAACTATCATAAACTCATATCATACAAAATAATGATCTTATTATTGATATATTATTAAAAATATATTTTTACATAAAATATTTTCCCCAATTGCATTTTCTTACCTTGAAACATGGAGAAAAGAATATCAAGGAAGAAAAAAACTCATATGCAACAATTAACATGTTGAAGTATGTCCTTTGAGTCTCCCTTTTTTCTACATAGAAATTTTAAAAAAATTAATACTAATATAAATAACTATATATTATATATAACTTATTTAATGTATTAGATATATTATATATAAATTTCTATACTCTTTTTTAATCTTAGCAGAACAAACTTGATTGAGTCCCTGTAAAACTAATTTGATGATTTTATAATGTTCTATTAATCTTAATATAATTTATTTCCTGTATTTTATAATTATAAATAAGGTTGACTGTATGTTTTTATGCATAGAGATTTTCCACATTCATAGTTATTTTCTCCTCAGAATAGATTGTATTAAAGTTTTTGACATCAAACAGAAATACAAGTATTAGTAACAAATTACTTCCCAAAGGGATGCTGTGAACTGACACTGGCCCAGCAATGATTTAGAGTGCTTGTTTCATCACAATTTCATTTGCACTATATATTAGTAAAAAAATATAATGTTTAATTTGCTGGATTAAAATAACTTTTATAGTTCTTAATTTGTATGTTTTCTTTGATTAGACTTAACATGTCTATAAGTATATAGCCATCTGTGGTCTTATTTTGTGAGCTACGCTTTTTTATTTATCTGTTGATTATTTAGTTTCCTAATCATTTGTCTACTTACTTTAATCATGTGTACATGATATAGTTATATTTTTTAAAGAGAAAATTTAAAAGAACTATAGAAGACCTTCTATAGGTGACTATATGTACATATTTTCCTTTTCCTTATAAAAATTTCTTTCCATTTCAAAAGTCTGATATATATATAATTGTACTTCAAAAATTTTAAATTGCCCAAGGCTTCTAAAATTTATCTGAGTATTTGTTGTAGGTTTCAGCTATACATTGATCTTCTCCTAAATTATTAACCAGTTGACTTAACATCACTTAATGCAAAATTCTTTCATTGACTTGTCACTCTCCTTTTTTAATGTATTAAATTATTGTAACATACAAGGTACACTTCTGGGCTATCAATACTATTAAACTGATTTGCCTGTCAGTGACATGTACTAAGAAGTTTAAATTATGTCAAATCATATAAGGATATAATTGATTTCAAATAAATATCTAATTTTCTAACAATTTATAAAAACTATGGCTTAACATTTCTGTTTAAATTCTTACATTCATGAGATATTTCTATGATTTCCTCTGAAATAAAAGAGGAAAATCCAAAATCTCACTAGGGTTATTAACTCAATATAGTTTATACAACCCATTATACTGTATTAAGTTTTTACATTATATGCAAAGATAAAAATAGTAGCTTAAATGTGTGCATTCAATTAATTAGGCTAACAAGATTAATAACAAAAGTCGTTATAAATTTTAGTTAAAATATTATTTTACTTTAATTAAAGTGACCTTGCAAACACATCGTGTACTAAAAGAAACAGACAAGCAATGAGGTGGACAATGCAATAGTGGTTGAGGCATTGAAAAAATAACTTCAAATATGGGTTATAAAACCTCTTTAAACAAAACTAATAATCAGACATATACATGTGAAACTGCTTTTTGAATATTTATTAAATAAAGCATGCGAATATTAAGGTTCAGCTTTAAGAAGTTATAAGTTGTTTAAAATTATTATGAAAATAGTATACCAACCATCTCTGGCGCTACCCACCATGAAAGCAGAAAAGAATAAAAAAGACATTAAGAATATATTAGAAATGACAAAAAGAAAACAAAAGCAAAAATACCACAGTGTAACATTATTTGACTACCATATCATTAAATCATTTCAATATAGTATTTCTCAAACTGGGTTTCTACAAAAATCTGGAGATACAGGCTTATCTTCAAACATCTATAGAAAACATTTGTTGTGTGAAAATCTAAAAAACATTAATAGAAACTCTGTGTTTTGTATAACCTTTGAGAACAAATACTACCACATCAGTGCACCTATTTGTTTTTGTTCTTACAAAAGCATTAGTCCCAAGGTAGTACAACCATAACTGGTAAAACTAATGAAAAGGAAAATAAATTTATTTTATATGAAATAAAGCATTCTCACTAAATAATCATGCACTATTTGAATGAAAGTCTCGTAGTATTTTAACTATCGAAAAGATGTGGGGAAATTGTGTCATCAAACAAGGTACATGCTGATATCAATAGAAGTATGATGTTGGTGGTTTTAGTTTCAGCCAAATAAAATAATCCATGCTGTTATATTAAAGTTCTTAACCTGAATTTTATTAGGTGTTGTAATTTCACTTTTATTTAATTTATAAGTTTTGAATTAATAGTTGTATAAGAACTATAAGGATAAAATGTATATAACTTTTTTGTAAATATTTAAGAAATGTTATAGAAATAGTTTATAGTTTAAGTCAATATTAAGGATTTAAAATAATTTTTCATGCAAAAGGGAATTATAAATCACCCAACTTGAGAAATTTTTGTTTTGACATATTCTTTAAAAATCTCAAGGTACGTTAAACAATCCAACTTTTAAAATGCAGAGGCATTATTATATCTAGAATAATAAGGAAATTCACATAGTACCTAGAAAAGAAGACTGCTTCACACCTTCAGTCCAAAATCAGTGAAAGGATATTTATTATCTTTCTAGGAAGCAGTGTTTTATCAGTGTTAGAAGATCATAATCCACCCCTCAACTTTTTTTTTTTTCCAGGAAATGAAGCATAGAGAGTGAGTGTATTAACCCAGGCCTAATAAATAAAAAACACTCCATCTTCACCACATCTTCTCAATCAGCTTCATATAATTGGTCTCTGCCTGAGTTCTTCTGTGTGTATATTGTCTTTTTGATGAAAAATAGGATATAATAACTTCATCAAAATGTAAAGGGAAATATAAAGAGAAGACTTTATTATAGTGCTTATAAGACTAATTACTAATCATGGCCCACCGTACAAAGCTATTAAAACCAATATCTTCAAACTTCCAGAACAATTCAGAATTGAAAAATAAAAGGGAGAGAAAGAAATGAAAACCCAATTGGACTACATTCCTAAGGAAGCTGTCATTTGGTGTCTGCTGTTTCAATAAGAGCCCAGGAGTTATGAACTATAGTTATAATGCTTCCTATTATTTTATACCCCTTCTCCTTTGGAATTCTTCGTTTTAGCTCTCAGCTTTATTTATTAATTGAGGTAACATTGGTTTATAACATTATATAAATTTCATGTGTGCAACATCATATTTCGACTTCTGTACACAGGACAGTGTGTTCACCATCAAAAGTTTAGTTTCTTTTTTTTTTTGGCCTCTCCCGTTGTGGAGCACAGGCTCCGGACGCGCAGGCTCAGCGGCCATGGCTCACGGGCCCAGCCGCTCCGCAGCATGTGGGATTTTCCCAGACCGGGGCACGAACCTGTGTCCCCTGCATCAGCAGGCGGACTCTCAACCACTGCGCCACCAGGGAAGGGAAGGGAAGGGAAGCCCCCAAAAATGTATTTTCTGACCATCACCATACAGTTGACCCCCTTTACAATGTTTCTTTTTAAGAGCCTGATTTCATTCTTACAATGATTTTCCTTCACCCGTTCACAATTCTGAAATTCATAATTGTTAATTGTTAAGACTGAGATCAAATCTGATAAGTCTAGTGCAATGACCTTTCAATTTTTGGATTTCGAATAATTAACTCATGAAGAATTTATGTTATTTTGTACAAAAAAAAGAACCATGTTTTTGCCACTGTAAATCGCACCATTAAGAACAAAACACAACGAAACCTTATCCTTAGCATCTGTCTGAGTATTTTTAGGACTAAATGTATGTTATTGTTATTTTAAAGTAATTATTTTAAGTAAGTTGATAACAGTTCAAGGGAAGGGTAGTTTTAGTAATAACATTCTCTTAGTCCCATAGAAAAAAGAAAAAAAAAAAAAACATTTATGGGCCAATCTGTTAAAATAGTCACCTGCATCTCATCTAATTTTGATTGAATATCTGGAGGGAAATCCCCTGCTCCACAGTTAAATGGGTCAAAAGGTTCTGCTCCAAACAGGTCCCGTTCTAAAAGGAAGAAAATAATTTAGTATATGAAATGACAAGGAGTGAGTTGGGGTGAGTTAGGTTTCAAAGGCAGGATTATATAAAGAAGCACCTGCATGACCAAATGAGCCCCTATCCACACATATTTTATGCTGGGCTTTCCTGAGCTTAGACTAGTTAAACACCAACAAGCAAGCAAAGATCCGCTTTTATGACTATTTAAAAACTATTTGGTTACAAAGAATTACTATTCAGAGAGGTTTCTGTGTCTTTAAGTAAGACTTAATGTCAAATCCACCAAATATTTGATAATTAATATATTACAATACCTACACTTTACTAAAGCAATTTAAATGTACTAAAATTAACGTATTACTCACTGAAACTTCTCTATTCCATTTATTGATGACTCTGCAACACAATAGCGAAGCAATAGGTAGGACCTAGTAGATTAGGAAGTAGTTTAACTCACAGTTCATGTACTTTTATCTCACATTTTAGCCAGAAAAAATTAAGGCACGTCATCTCATGTAGTATAAAATCATATCACCTTCCTAGATAACCACAATGAGACAGGTTCTTTAAAAATGCCTCTTTTCCCCCAAACAAATTTCTTTTAAGAAAATAGCAGTAATTGAGTATCAAAAGGCTCTCTGTGCATATATTTTAAAGTCTGCGTTGTTTTTTTAATCATTAAAGAAGTATCAAAGTTAAAATTGATAGGACTATGACTTAATTTATGATTTTAAATTTTTTTTTAATTTAAGAAATTTCTTTCCTCTGAATCAATTCAAATGCAGCCTTAACTGACAAAAAATTAAATTATATATGGGCAAGGGAATTTATAATGTATCAAGACTTTCATTTTTCAGGAAACTATATTCTCTAAATTAAATGCTTTGTAAGAAATAATATTTATGCTACTTGAGTTCTATTATATCTTCTAAATCATTGTGACTCCCATTATGAAAGATTCTTGCTTCTCTAGTTGCAATTTTTTTTTCAGATTCATGTATTAAGTTAATAAATGTAAAATGTTTAGAAGCTCCTGGTTCTGGTAAGTATTGTATAAATAAGAAGGACATATAATTTATCTTCCAAATAAAGACACTTTTAAGAGCGAAAGGAGTGCTACCAAGTTTCACCAGGATGAAAGGTATAAGACAGGGTACTCCTAAACAAATGGGAATTTACTATCACCATACATATAACTGATGGGTATTATTACTGTTGTTACTATATATTTTCCTCAGTCTGATGTTTATTGTAGGCAATAAACCAGAACTTAGAGAAAAGAGGAACTGTTCTTTGGAGGTGTATCCTGGTTACCACCATACCACGAACACATCAAGCAATGCTTTACATGTGGTACATGCTTGTCAAAAGAAATGAATTAATAAAGAGGAAATAGAGTTGTCAGGAGGAACAGAGATTCTCATTACACAGGTTTTCTAAAGTTGAGACTCAAAATCACCAGAGATTTCAGATGGGCTTAAGGGATCCTTAACATCCCTGAAATGCAATGCAAAATTTTGTATGAGTGGGCATGTTGTGTTTTTCTGTGAAGAGGTTTAACTTTTATCATATTCTCAAGGGTCCACAACTCCCCCACAAGTCAAAAAAGTACTACTTTACATATTAAGTAGACATATCAATACCAGGCAAATTAATAAATATAATAGACCTCTTTGGAATATTTTTTTCAGCTCAGATGGATCTAAAATTCATAACAAAAAGTAATATAAGTCCAATTTTCAATTTAAAAGGATTTGCTATGTAATTAATGACATGAAAATTATTTAATCTAAAACAAGAGCAAAATAATAAAAAATAGGTGATACTTCACTCATTCTTTTGTTTATCCACTAAATATTTATTGAACACATATTATGTGCCATACATTTTGCTAGGCAGTGGATTAAAACATTTGAGGAAAGGACTTTAGAGTCAAGTGCCTTCCCTCATGTAATTTATAATCAATTAGGAAACATGATATTAAACAAATTAATTAAAGTCTGATACATATTCAAAGATCAAAAATATGCTCTGGAGAACTACTAGGGTTCTCAGGCAGTAAGGAGAGAAACTAAGGAACAATCTTGTAGGTTTCTGCTTTTATGTATTTAAAATATAAAGAAAATAAATGAATGAATACATTTAAGATTTCATTTAAAGAAAAAGTCCTATTACTAAAACCCCACTGGATTACAGTTTTAGACAATCTTACAATTAAAACTGAGTTGAACAATCTGTCCTTAAATTGTTAGTATAGATAGACAAGAAGATGATTGATAGATAAATGATAGATAGATATAATACAGTGGTAATCAGAACTCCATTTCTTTCTATCTATCTATGTATCTATCTAATCTTTCTAATGATATACTGCTGTATTTACTAAACTCTGGCATTTGGGATAGATAGACATTAAAAAATATAGCAAGATGTTACTTCAGTTTCTCATTAATAAATCCCTAAAAACCATTTGACCATCTCTGCCTAGATTTTCCAAAGGCATTTCAAACTCACTAACATTTAAAAGAGACTCATCAGTTTCCCCCTCTCTACCTCTAGTTTTCCCATTAACAACATTTGGTCCAAAATCCTGAATCATAATGGAGTTTGAACTTTCAGTTACCATCCTGATGGATTATTCTTTCTAAGTATCTTAAAATCTATTCACTCTTCTCAATTTATATTCTACTTGGATTAAAACCTGACATGCGGATACACTTCTAATTTATATTTCAAATTCTAGCATGTAACCCAAGTCTAGCGTATGTACTAAACAAATGCCCATTGAATTAAATACATGAATGAGCAAAACACTGATGTAGTCCAAGGAAGTAAAAAACAGTGGTAAAGGAAGAGATCTGGAACACTCTTAAGGACAAAAAATACCCCATTATGATATCAAGATATTGGCAACATTTTCTAAAAACACATGTATATCATGGATTATTTCCTTGAAAAAAATATTTTGCACTGACACAAAATATATTCAGAAGAATTTAAATGTACTATATTTCAACAAAAGTATTGAAATATTTTTGTACACTGATTTTTAAAGTTCTAATGTTATTACTTTGTATTTACAAATTAGTCCTCTGAAATTTACTGAATACCTAAAATGTGCAATGTACTTTGTTGAGTTCTACAGGGGAAACAAATAAACTATAGGCCTGAAATGCTTTACAGCCTTAAGCTAAAACTTCAGAGTTACATTGAAAACGTCTCAAATGTGAACCAGAGAGGATGCAATAAAGCAAAATATGTAAAACTCTCTTTTCTTCAGTGCCCCTTTAGACCTGATGACTGATCATGGCCTTTGGAAACTATTCTTTCACTTTCTGTGACAGGGCACAGAGCAAAATATAGTCAAGACATTGATGATGAACATCTGTTAGATGCTTTCTACTTCATCAGAGAGACTTTTATGTTCCTTCCAGATATACAGAAAGTAAATCAGAAAAGCAATGCATTTATAGCTTTGTAGATATCAAAGAAAGAACACTTACATAGTGTTAATAAATAAATAAATCATGGAATTCATAGATTTATATATTCCTTTAACTAAGACTATCCATATACTCTATGATAAAAAAAATTAAACTGAGCTCTAAATGATGAGTCAAAATGATTAAAATAATTACCACAGGACTGTTCTTAATCATTAAACAAAACATTAAAAATATAACCCCAACACAATAAACATAATTGTTTTGTATTATGATGTAACTAAGCCTATACCAAAATATCATTTTTCATAAAATAGTTTCAAATGCAAATAGTGATGTCTTTAGTAGTATACTCTCAATTATTAAGTAAAATATAAATAACTGAATTTGGCACATATATATAAACATAATTCTTCAGTGATTAAAATTTTTAGTGAGCTTGTTAAGATATATAATTTCCCATAAAGTGCTAATTAAACATTTAAAATGTACACAAATATAGCAAAAATATTGATTTGTTTAGAAAGCTTACTAATCTCGGTAGATCTACTAGGGACTGGAGGTGGCTGCGTGCCATTGTGAGTAGGTATTGAAGACTGGTGTGAAATTGGAGAAAATGGAATCATATCAAAGATGTCAGTGGAGGGAGACTTAGGTGTCACATTGCCTGCCTGCAATGAAGATAACATGAATTAGTATTCCATGTAGAAACATTATAATGCTAAATATTTCATACACATATAAAACATATATAAGCACAACGAAAAATGCAGTTGAGTCATATGAACTTGCCATTCTGTAGATCAAAAATAGTTACATATTGGCAATTTTATATGACTCAACCACTTATGCTAAATGCTCATTGGCAAGAAAATTTCTGCAAAAATATTCTCAAAGATGATGGCAAAAATGATGATAATACTATTCTAGACAGATATAAAAGATATGTTGGATTTTTTGTATATCTAGAAATAATTGCCACTTATATCAGAGAATTGAAAACGTGTTAGAAACTATTTATATAAAACCTTGATTTCAGTGATGTATTTTGCACAAGATTACAAGATTTAGACAGAAATAACCAAACATAAGCGATGCATCTTAAATATAACCATTCAAAAGCACTTGATAATGATTTTAAAAACATTTTAAGGAGTCTATTTTAATTTGTACTTATAACTGTAATGGAGCCAACTATTATATTCATTGCAGTGACTTTTCTTCTTAGAATAAGACTTCATCGTTTTCTACAATAAATAGCTACCTTGTGAAATAAATTATAATCACAAAATGATTAAGTTATCTGGGCCAGTCTGGGCTAGGAAGTAATGAAAGAATGAGACAATCATCACTTTGATTGTCATATAGGGAAAAAAAATTATTTTATATATATATATATATATATATATCATCTATTGATATAAAAGAAAGAGAATTCCCATTTTGGAGAGAAATAGTGAGAAAAATTTATTTTTCTTATAAGAACATGAACACTGTTTAGAATTGCTTAGAGTGGTTCATATTATAATTTGTGTTCTCAAAATACATTTATTTACTGATTCACAGATGAGGCAGGTAGTGAAGATAAAAAGGCTGATTGTGTGTAAAGAGTGATAGATTTGCTATTCAGTTAATAAACCTGTTAGTACATTTTTTCATGCAGGAAAATTGCTGTCATCTCCCTTTCTTTAGCAACTTACTTTAATTTTAATGGATAGTCTATCAGTTACAAATACTATCCAAAGACTTGGAGGCAACTTTATCCCTCAGCTCTTTCCTCCTACTCAGGAATGTTGTTCTCCTAATCAGCCTCTCTCTCAAATTCCCCTGGCTTCCATCTCTCTCCTCTTTGTCAAGATATAAAGATACTCAGATCTTGACTGTTGTTAAAACAAACCAACCATAAAGGTCTTTACCCAGTGCCTCTTTACTCCTCTCATCTCTCATCTCTCTTTCCC